ATTCCTGGCAAATGGAAACATGGACTAAAACCTGCGGTCCCCTGTTGGTTTAATTTTGACCCATACCCATATCAAAATAGCCGCAAGGCAGAGCTTCAAGGGCAGGCAACCCCGAGCCAAGCAAAGCTGCTCGCATGCGCTCTCAATGCCGTGCTGGGCCCCAAGTGTCGCGTTCCTTTCCACCACGATGTTCCGGTCGGCATTGCCGCGAGAAGGGTCTTCGCGTCATCAGTTGGGACTGGGCCATGTTTCCATTTACCAGGGTTCCATTTTGGGTACCTATTTTTTGACCCACAGCCAGTTCTTGTCTTTCTGCGCTCCCGAACATTCTCGCAGTGACTAGGGGCTCACCTGGTCCGCAACACACTGACATAAGCCGCTCCCCCAAGCAATAGTTCCACACCAATAAATATCCTGTGCCAGGCCAAATTCCTGAAGTCCCATCGCCTGTGCTTTCAATTGACCCACTACTAAACCAATACTAAACTTCTGACAGCCCTTATTACGGGGTACTTTCAGCACTTCCCTAGTGTACATTCATGGTTTTTGTGTTTTTTTGCTTTTTTTTTTGTATTTTGAATATCTATTTTTAACATTGAATTGACACATCAACAAAAAGGTGCCCGGAGCATCTTCACATAATTTTTATCGCTTGGCAGACTCGGCAGACTTATGATTTTGACGGTTGTTTGGGCCGGCAAAGGGAGAGGTCGATTTGGACGAGCACCGTAGTGGAAACCCGCTGGGACCACCTGGGACCCTATTGGCATATGTGTGTCCAAGCAATAATATGTATTACATGTATTACCAAGGAGGATTTAATCATAAGGGGGGAAGGGGTTAGCCGCCCCCCCCTCCACACCCTCTGGTCCAACCACCTGGGAGATGTCAGGGGAGCCGCACGGATAGATCCATCCACCAGGCCATTCACAACCTGCAGGCTTGCTGTGCAATGCAGCAAGCTGCGTGAACAGCTGGCCGTTCCAAAAACCAAACGCTCCACTCCCAAATTCCAAAAGAGGCCATTGCTAGGTAGCCGGTGTGCAAAAAGTGTAAAATCAAGGTGTCGTTTTCCTCAGAATCGATCATCCGAAGTCACATTTTTTCGCATGCAGCCATGCCCGGCCTTCTTGCAGAGTTCCACCTGTTTATGGGAGCCACGGATGATCACCTGGCAATCAAGACGGGCAACATGCCGTGCGTTGCTCAAGCTGATTCTTTGGGGCCTCCTGCAATTCGTGCCAACTCGCTGGCCTTGGCCATTCCGTTGTGCGGGGTGTTCTCGGTCCAGCAAAGTGCCCTGGCTGGCTCCAAACCCCTCATACGTTGCGCATGTACAACCTGCGTGTGCCTCCATCATATGTCTCCTTTAATTTCAAGGAACGGGAAACCAATGCATTTACAAAGATCACTCTTGGATATTGTTGCCCGCCAGTTTCTGAATTGCGTTTGTGGCAACTTGTCGTTGCTTGGCGAAATTCGCAGCCCCCACACCGGCCCATTGCGACCATCTCTCAAATCTCTCGGCCATGTCTGTGACACCTGCCCTCCGCAATCCAGTGGTGCCCGAGCTGCCGGCTTCGTGAATGCTTTGAGAGAGGTCATGGTGGACCCGTTGAAGCCCGTGATCTTGAAAGCCTCGGCCGGGAACAAGCAGGCTCATGGCGTGCACAAAAGGCTTTGTGACTCTGAGCAATCCTGCCAGTGGTCGAGTGGATGCGTCTGCCATAGCCAAATGGCGGCAAAACCAGACTTCATCTTTAATCGAATAAAGGGTGCATGCTACAGCACTTGCCCTGCGAAATTTTGCCAACAATACAGGCACAGAACCTGAAAGACACCTGTGAACTTTGGCAGACCTCTTCTCTGAGGGCTCCATCTGGGTGTTTGTTACCAGAAGGGCGACAATCATCACGTTGAGCCCCCAACACAAAAATTACTTCATTGGATCCGCATAGCCCCATGCTTCTGAGCGCGGGGCAGCGCTCCGCTGAATTTCCACCGCAACCTGGAAGCATGATGCGGTCTTGCTCCCCCGGTCGGTGTCAGCAGAGCGTGTAAGAAGGAACAAGGTCTGGGTCTAGCAGCCGGATTCGTAAGGAAGCTCTACTTTCAGGCGGAGCGAAAAACGCATTGTTGGTGGCCCCAGAGAGAGACTCGGAGCAGGCTGCAAAAGACTGAGCAGGGGAAAAGGGGGCAAGTAGATGAGCACAAAGAAAGAAGGACTGTAAATCCAAAGGGAAGGGAAGAAGTGCAAAGAACTGAAAAACGAGTGGAGCAAGGGGGCATGGGGAGGAAGGGAATGACAAGGTACAAGACGACGCGCAACGGAGCCAAACCCAAAAAGCCCAACACCTGACAGAAGGCAGTTGTCCGCCATGTGGGGAGAGGTGGCTTTAGCAAAGGCACGCTTGTCAACGTCGCTTCTTAAAACGGCTGCTCCTGAAGAAAACACTCACCAAGCTAAGGCCCAGACAACCTGCGTCGAAGCCATGCCGGAAGTCGCCTATTGTTTGCCAATGCTTCGGTTGCGAAGCACCCGAAAGCTGGCCGGGAAGACGTTTGGTCCTTTTCAAGGGCTTCACTTCACGAGGTCCCTAGCTTGCGTAGCGGGGTTCACACCAGGTTCCACTGGCATTCTGGCGGGTGTGCTTCCGCGCCTGGAATCGCAGCGGCCCCGGAGGCAAAGGCTCAGGCGGCAACACCTCCAGCACGGTGAGGGCGCGGCCCTGGGCATCGAGTGCGGCCAAAGACTTGGCCTCCCCCAAAGAACTTGGGGAGCTCGAAGCCTCGTTTGCTTTTCTCCGGTGGGTCCCGAAACGGCCAACATGCGCCAGTGCGCGACTTTGACTTGGCCTTATGATGCCGCGGCGATTTAGAATCCAAGTGGCCTCCTCATCGTCTTTGAGCCTCAGCATGCGCAGGCACAGACCGAACGGCATCTGGATGAGCATCAAAACGGGCCCAAAAATCACTGACCGTGTTGCCCCCTCGATCTCAAGCTTTCTGTTCTCAACATCTACGACCTGCCCAGCGCGGGTGTTGGGACCAGCTCGGGAAGATTGAGAACCCTCACGTTCATGTCACCTGAAAGTTGGCGCCAGGGCACACCACTTTGTCTCCCGGACGAAGCTGGGAACCTCAGCAGATGGCCGAAAGTCTCTCGCCACACCACGCACTGCCAATTCCACCGAAACGGCAGGAAGCTCATGTTAAAAGAACTCGCCCAAAACCGCAGCGAGATGTTTGATGGTAAGCCAACACCAGTGAGCGCATCGCTGTGTACCTGGGCTGGATCGCGAACCAGGTCACCTTTCGGCATTTGTTGTATCTCAAAGTGGCTTGTTCTCGATTTACGGTTCTAAGGGAAAACTTGTGTGATACGAAGTCGTGGTCAATTCCTTCTTGAGGAGCGTCGCTTTGCAGCTTTGCATACTGAATGACAATCTGCTTGGGGCGCCGGCTGTCATGCATCCGCTTCCTGACCGAAGGGTGTGCCCGGGCCTCGCGGTAACATGGCTGCTGAGTGACAAGCAACTTGCTACGGTTGCATGAACATGTTGCGCGCAATGTGGGGCATTTGGCGAGCTCAGCAAGACAAGGATTTGCGTTCTTAGCCGGGCAGAGTATGGTCTCAACCAGTACGACATCCCACAAATCAGCAAGAAAACAATCTCAAGAGCAACGCCATCCAAAACCTGCACAGCATTGTCCGAAATGCACACGATGCAATTCGGCCCATGTCACGATCCGTCCATGGTCATCTGGAACACTTGCAAGATTGGCCACTATTGCCCCGCGCGCCTCCCGGATAATATCCTCCTGTCTCGCGATGTCAGCACCTAAGTACTGCGTATCCTCCCCGCCTAAGATTTGACAGGTCCCAACAATGTAGGGATGTAGCTGCATTTTGTTCTATGTTGCTGGAGGTTGTCTGATGATTTCCCACTGGACACCACGTGTACTTTCGACGGTTTGGAGGCAGCGCAATTCTGGATTTGGAAAAACTCCCTTTCCAGAAAGAATGAGCTATTTGGCAAACTTCAAAGCAATAGCTTCAAATGACCAATTCGTGAAATAGGGTGCCTTTCGCTCAGGGCAACATCGGATGGCTCCCCATGCAAATATGGAGCACTTGTTCTTGCGCCTTCAAGCTTGGCTCAAAAGAAAACATGCGTGGTGTGGATGCTGGCAGGCAGTGAATATGAACCTGGAAAGGCTGAACCAGCGTGAAAACCCTTGTGTGAGGTAAGACCGGCTGCTTCACCACAGGGGGCCTCAACAGATTGGATGGGGGCCTCAACAGGTTGGATTGCACATATTGTTGGAAACCGCTGCCCTCGGAACATGCTAACCAAGGAAAAACTCAAGGTTAGCCACGCCTGCCTTCCGTGACGTGTTAAAAAAAGGTGCAAAACATGCTGAAACTGCCGCCAGGTCTCTGATGGCCTGCAATTTGGACTCTGCATCCCTCTTCTCCATCTGCCGCGCCCTCTCCTGCGCTTCCGAGCTGTCCCCCACATCACTGGCGACAAACTCCACACGAACACAACCAGTGGCCGGGGAGGGGTTTGACAAGCTACTCCGTGCCCATCCTGCCTCCCGCATCTGCGATAGGAGCTCGTCCTTCGCCTTCTGCAGGAGGTGCGTCGGCTTCAGAAGGTCTAGTGTCAAGTTGCGAACCTAGGTCGGCAACTGTCGGCGCATCCACAGGCCAATTTAAACGTGTTTTGCAGGCGTGTTTGAAAGGGCGTGCCTATCGTTTGGCGGGCGTGGGTGGCAGTGGTGGTCGAGGGGTGAGCGGGCGTGGCAGGCGTCGGTATTGTGCTCATGCCACCAACGCCCGCAAACATCTAAGCAATACCTGTACTCATAAACGCACGAAGTGACAAAATATCTAAGCAATACCCTTACTCAGCAACGCACGAAGTGACGAAACCGGAAATGAGCCCCGAATTATGAGTGTGGATCATCGTATCCACACCTGTCAGGTGATAAGCACACCCGCTCAAGAGCACCCGCCCAGCACACCAAACGACAAGCAAACCCGCTCAAGCAGGCCTGCCAAATTACAAGCATGCCCGCTCTCGCTCTCAGCGCTATCCACGCATGCCAACAGGCGCCCACTTAAGTGGCCCGCGCAGTCCTGTTTCCTCGGCTGGGCTGAAAAACCAAACAGCGAGGAAGCCTCACTGAGAATCCTGATCGGGCATGTGCACAGAACACTCACTTAGCAAATGCGTTCTCTCAATATGTAGGGTTTGAGCGGGCGGAGGGGGCGGCAATTTGATGAAGTTCCACTAAAAGCAATCTTCGGGGACCCGGTGTAGAAAAGCAGGGTCGCAGGCGCGAAACCCGCTGCCTGCCGGCTCCCAGGCCACATGGAGCCCCAATCTTGGCTCAATTGAACAGTGTATTCTTTAAGTCTTGTTTGAATTTTGGGCGGGCGCAAGCGTGCAACATGTGGACATATGCTGAGTTGTTAGGCCGCAGGGCCCCACTGATCCCCACCCACGATTGATATTTTCCGAAATGCGGTGACAAAACAATAGTGAGCCTTTGGGCGGACCTTCATGCACAGCGAAATGTCGGCGGAGTGAGCTAGAGGTTCGAAAATTTGATAGGATAGCATGTGGCTGTTTGTTGCAGGAGAAGTTGGGTTGGGTCGGTTCTAAGCTCAACCAGCACTTGCTACATGAGCAGCTTGCCAAGTAGCAGTTGGATCCGCCATCAGGTCGGCCAGGATGTCGTTTGCGCCAGGGCCCCCCTCAACGTCAGACTCCGAATCCTCCATCCCGTCCCCGAAGAGGTCTCCATAGTCGTCCTCCTCAACCTCCCTGAACAAGTCCCTGACGAACAAGCTGTCACCTAGACAGGGCGATCCAAACAACTCTTGATGCCCAACTGAGGTGCAGCAGCCCCAAAAGCTACCGTCAAGCGGATCACGACTCTCGCATTGCCTGAAGCGGGTTTGTATTGCAAGTGGGCACCCCCACCGCCGTTGGACATGGGAAGCAACGGCGTCCTACGGGGAGGGTACAAAGGCTCCTTTGGCCGGCACGGCGCGCCCACTGGGGCTCTACTGCCGCGACTTGGGCCTGCAAAGTGTGGGCAAATCCCCCGCAGCCGCAAGGAGTTACAAACACCACGAAAGCAACATGCTCAACGCCGCCCAAGAGCTCTCTCGTCGCAGCAGAAGGCCTCTCTGTTGCAAACCCTCATGCCCCCTCCATTGCCAAACGCCTCCCTGTTTGAAACAAGTCTTTCCGTGGACTCAAAAACTCATGTGAAATCATGAGGACACGCGAAGCCTTGTGGGGGCGGAACCTTGAGGCCCTTTCAAGCTTGAATTCCTGAAAGCCTTTGCGGAATCGGAGCTGAAAGAAACAAACTACGTGAAAAGGAGCCACCACGGAGCAAAGCATGACTTTCTGCATCAAATCAGGCGCCTTCGAATCCACTTCCCCATGCCGCAACCTTCCGCAGGGGCGCCTCTGACCTCTTTCCACCGATCCCCACTCCGTGCCTCTTGTCGCCTCTTTGCCTGCGAATTGCGCAGTCCTTCTTGAGCCGCCCAGTTTGCACAACAAAGCTTTTGCTGTGGTTGGATTTCCAGGGGGCGGAACGACATTGACCTGGCGAACATCATTTTGTACGCCAACATCAGGACACTGTGTTCTGGTTCCGCGTGGCCGGGTGCTGCTTCGCAGTCTACGCGAAGCCTACTCATCCCCTACGCCACAACACTCAGCATGGACCCGCCACCCCAAAGCGAAATGCATGGCGCACTCGGGCCGAAGGACTACTTCATTGCCAGGCGTATGCGAAGCCGCGAAGCCTACGCGATTCTCGTGATCGTTTCCAAATTCGCACGCTCCAAGCACGGAGGACGAGCATCTGTACATTTAGCGCACGAAGAAACTCGGCCATGAAACATGCCCACGTGAAGCCTGAGCACCCCAGGATGCCTACGCCACTACCGCCTCTGATGTAGTTAATTGCCTTTTTGCAGCGGCTGCATCTTTGACAGCTGGGGCCTCCGGGCCCTCCAAAACATCGGCACAAACACGTCCTCTCGTGGGCCTCCATCATATGCCCTAACACTCTTACCCGCTTCCTGCCTGCTCGTCCACCTCGGAACAGGCATGTGAACGGAGCAGCGGCGAAAGGACCGCCGGAAGCATGAATGTGCGATGTCTGTGCTAAAGTGGTTCTCCCATCGCCGTTTGGACAAGCATGCCTCACATCCAAACTTCTGTTTGCCGACTCGGTGAAACAAGCTTGAGCATTCCTCAACACATTAGCAGTCATAGCATGGGCACGGTGGAAAAAATGCTCCTCCCCGAGTCTCTACCAACAGCAGTGTGTTTCCATCGTCTGACAAAGCAGCCGTGTGGCTGCTCTTTTATCATCAAGATGTAAACAGTGAATTGCTGAGGGCTTGCACATCGCCAACAGCACTCGGGCCCCCACCAGCTGCCTTCTGAAATCCTCTGCATGAATGATTTGTTAGCAGTTTGTCAGCAAAACGACAATCCTTGGCAGAAGCATGTACGCACACATGTTATGTTCTACATATCGGCACATAGGAACGCATACATATCATGTAGTATATGTGCATACATATGCGGTGTCCAACAATGATATATTTATGCTTCTATACGGGTATTCCTGTACGAATACAGCAATATACATATGTATCTTAGATATAACATATACAAACTATAGGCTCCCTCGTGCAAGCCAGCTGGGTCCAAAGCGCGCTGGCCGAGCACATCCGTCTTTGTTGTGCCGAATCCATGTTTCAACATCCTGGCCCGTTAGACCGGAAGCCTTGATTTTCAAGCGGCCTCTTGTCTGACCAAGCTGTCAAAACGCCCAAGGCCCATCTTACCTGCGGGGGTTGCACGTCGTGCAACCAGTCCTCTTCCGAATCTTGTAGAAGCTGGACGTTCTTAACCCGCTCATCTTCCCTTAGTGGAAATTCCCAAGCTCACAGGTGGGCGCAAACAAGGCGTTTCGCTTGCAGTGGTGCCGACCGCAGAGGAAACGATACCTCAAACATCGAGTCAGTCGTATCCGTGCTTTTCCGCATGAGGTACGCGGTGCCCGAGGGCAGGTGCCGTGCTGGGTGGCACGTTGCAGCGCAATTGCCAAAATTTCCTCTCGCTAAGTGAGAGGCTACGCATACCCATGCGGGCCAGCGCAGAAGGCGTGCGTTCAGCCCGCGCTCTTGGCAGACGGCTGTGCACTCAGAGCTCCTCCTTCTTCACCTCAACGCGAACGGTCTCAAGCGTGCCAGCCCCAAGCCCCAAGCAGCTCAGCACGTGGAATGACGTGGCCAAGGTCAAGCCCACCGGCATTTCTCTAAGACAAAATTGACATTGTCCACCGTGTGCTGGCCGTGGGCCGGATAGCACCCAGCAAGTTCGGGAGCAGGGTTGAGTTCCCGCTCCATTTTGCCTAACAGAATCATGGAACCAACATCGCAGCCAGATAGATGCTGCAGCTCTTGCAAGGCTCCTTTACAACTTGGTTTGCTGATGTTTGCTGGAAATCTCAATCTCAAGCCGTTAAGCTGTTGGTTTGGACCACGCCTTCGGGGCCCCGTGCCAGCCAATCGGCCCCCTCGCGAGTCCGTCAAACAGCTTTACGCCCATTCCACCCCAAGGCTCTCGTCGGGCGTCCGCGCCGACTTGCGGTAGGACTTCACCGCCTTCATGAGGCCCAAGCCGCTCTCCTTGATCTCCTCACCCAGCCCCAAAGCCAAGGAAACACCGGCAGGGAGGGAAGCAGCCAGACACCGGACACCGCCCGGCAGTGTTTTTTTCTCCAGAGGGGATGGCTTCGCAGCTAATACTTCGGAGGAAGCGGGGGCGGGGCGGGGGGGGGGGGGGAATTCAATCGCAAGCCGTCTCAGCACGCCATGGACCAGCCCTGGCTCAAATCTCCTGCTTCTTGGCCTGCATGGCCTTGTCAGACTCCTCACACGTCGCAGCCGCAGCACCAACATGGGAAGGGGTCGGGAATATCAGATTACTGGAACGCCTTCCCTACAACCAAATGCGGGTGGCAAAGGACAAAGAGAACCACTGTGGAGAAAGCCAGCTGCGCAGGCGCAGCTTGGCATTATCAAACAGCCTAGCGCATTCCAAGCTCCTCAACCATGCTCGCTCCTCAGCCATGGATCCTTGCCTACGGTAGTGTACCAGTGCGCCATTTGAATGCAACCTGATTGAAACAGAACTTTGCGCCCACTTCTCCCAATTGCAGCCAAACGCCAGTTACGCAAGAGAAAGTGGAGTACTGAGAGCACGTCGACTGACCCGATCCTCGTATTGTTTCTGCAGGCTCTCCACGAACTCCTCGTGCTTCTTTGTTGCAGCCTTGATCTCCTCATCCTTCGATTCAATCTCCTGGACAGCTGGCTACGATTCCCTCACCACAAGCTTACTGGCTCTCTGCCTGCGTGCATTCGCCCTGCACCAGTGTGGCTTCCCCCTTTCCCTGCACCCTTCTGCACCGAACACTGATCACCTTAAAAACGTCAAACCATTGCAGTGCGCTACGAACATCCAGGTTCGCCCCGATTGGGTGAGGCAGCCGCACGCTACCCGCGCCAAGCACGAGTTTGGGCGATCCTTGTTCAAGGACGCACCTGGCATGCTGAGGAACGACTCGATCAGCTTCTTCTTGTCCTTGGATAAGCGGAAAGACAAATGCGGGACGAATCTTGAAGGCCTACCCGGGGCTGCGAGGGGTGGCCTTGGAAACCTCAAAGAACATGGCTTCTACGTGCGATCGGAAAATATTGGAAGGCAAGCGAGGATCTGCATCGCAAAGGTCCAGACTGCCTGGGCCGCACCTGCCACATGCTTGAAGACTGAAGACTGAAGACTTGCCACAGCACCACACTTCTTACGATTCGCACTTGATCCTAGTTGCAGAAATCAAATCAATCAGGCACCCTTTGCATCGAACATTACAAACGCGGGCAATCGTCTTCTGGATGCTTCTGTTGAAAGCTGCGCAATCTCTGCCTTCGGACGGGAGCGCTGCACAGACTTGCGCCTCGGGCCCAAGTTCGTTTTGGTAAACTTGTCCAGGTCAGCAAACTCTCGGCCGCCCTCGTAGTCCTCGCGATCAAATGGCTCGTGGCCGCAGCCTGCGAAGCTTAGATCACTCAAAGGCCGCGGCCAAGGTGCAAACCAAGATGACCCGCCCTTCACAAAGCGGACGTGGTGGCTGCTCCGCCAAAGAAGGAAGCAAAGAGAAAGCCTAGAAAGCCTAGAAACCCTTCAACCTTCACCTCTGCAGCCACCAGAAGAGCCTAGGAACAGCCAGGAGGGCCGCCGGCCCCGGCAGTCCTCCAGGTTGGCCGGGTCCCCGTACTTGATGGTGGGGAAGCCCTCCACGCCGATCTCGTCGCCTACAAATCAGGGAGGCAAGAGGCTCACATCGCCCGCGTGTGGTTCTCAGAAGGGTGAGGGAATGAGGGAACAAACCAACCAGCCAACCAACCAACCAATCAAGTAACCAACCAACCAAGCAACCAAGCAACCAAGCAACCAACCAACCAACCAACCAAGTAACCAACCAACCAAGCAACCAAGCAACCAACCAACCAAGCAACCAAGTAACCAACCAACCAAGCAACCAAGTAACCAAGCAACCAACCAACCAACCAACCAAGCAACCAAGCAACCAAGCAACCAAGCAACCAAGCAAACCAACCCATATACGACATATATAATATGCGATATAAAACGCTCAAACAAATATATAAAAATATATAAATATATACATATATATATATATTATACGTTATGTAACACACCTGTCTGGATTTGGTTGGTTGGTTGGTTGGTTGGTTGGTTGGTTGGTTGGTTGGTTGGTTGGTTGGTTTGTTGGGTGGGTGGGTGGGTGGGTGGGTGGGTGGGTGGTTGGGTGGTTGGGTGGTTGGGTGGTTGGGTAGTTGGGTGGTTGGGTGGTTGGGTGGTTGGGTGGTTGGGTGGTTGGGTGGTTGGTGGTTGGGTGGTTGGGTGGTGGGTGGTGGTGGTGGTGGTGGTGGTGGGTGGTTGGGTGGTTGGGTGGTTGGGTGGTTGGGTGGTTGGGTGGTTGGGTGGTTGGGTGGTTGGGTGGTTGGGTGGTTGGGTGGTTGGGTGGTTGGGTGGTTGGGTGGTTGGGTGGTTGGGTGGTTGGGTGGTTGCTTGCTTGCTTGCTTGCTTGCTTGCTTGCTTGCTTGCTTGCTTGCTTGCTTGCTTGGTTGGTTGGTTGGTTGGTTGGAATATGCATATATATATATATATACATTTTTCTAGCTATCGAGATACATATGTACACATGGTTCCCCAGTTGCCTGGTCAGTTGGGTCATTCTCAAATCGGCGAACACCCCCAAACACAAGCAAGTTGTTCAAGGTGTTCCTCACAAGTAGAAAGCTGACTGACTGATAATGAAGGTACAATCCCTGCCGTGACTTCCCTTGCCAGCGCCCTGATCCCTTGAGCTGCTGGCACATGGACTTGCCGTCGCCAATGCAGTCCTCAATGCGCAGAAGACAAACCAAAACAAAAAACAAAAAACGCTGGTCACCCACCCAAGAAACCCCTGCAACCTTCGCACCGTGCTTGTTTGCCGCAGCGTGTCCACATCCGCCACCACGATGGAGTCATGCCCATCATACTGCTTCATGAGCTTGTCCCATGCCGGCTTCATGGACTGCAGGACGCGTGGGCATGTGCGAAACTAGTTGGCTATGCAGAGGGGCACCCTTTCCGAGCACGCATCAGGCGATGTATTCCCGAACGGGGTGCACCCCCAAACAATGGAAAACAAATGCCAAAACACTTTTTTGAGGGAACCCACTTTGGGCCCGCTTTAAAGGAAAACCAAAAGGAAATCAAGCGCTTTGCGGGCTCCCCTATGTTGAGACAAACCCCTTAAGAAAACCGAATGGAAACCACTATGTTGAGACAAACCCAACTCTTCAGCAATTGGCGCGCGCCCAGCCTTGCAGTGGCCACACCATGGGGCAAAGAACTTCACGAAGACCTCAGCACGCACAAGCCCAAGGCACCTCCCAAGCGCGCTTACCTCGTAGCGCGCCAAGGGCGGGAGGTCGAAGTTCAAGTGCATGAGGGTTTGCAAATGCTCAAGTGGTGGTGGTTTAGTGGTGTGAGCGTTCAAGTCTTTGAGTGGTTTAGTTTAGTCCCTGGGATGTGTGCGTGTGTGTGTCTGTGTGTGTGTGTGTCTGTGTGTCTGTGTGTCTGTGTGTCTGTGTGTCTGAGTGTCTGTGTGTCTGTGTGTCTGTGTGTCTGTGTGTCTGTGTGTCTGTGTGTCTGTGTGTCTGTGTGTCTGTGTGTCTTTGTGTCTGTGTGTCTGTGTGTCTGTGTGTCTGTGTGTCTGTGTGTCTGTGTGTCTGTGTGTCTGTGTGTCTGTGTGTCTGTGTGTCTGTGTGTCTGTGTGTCTGTGTGTCTGTGTGCTGTGTGTCTGTGTGTCTGTGTGTCTGTGTGTCTGTGTGTCTGTGTGTCTGTGTGTCTGTGTGTCTGTGTGTCTGTGTGTCTGTGTGTCTGTGTGTCTGTGTGTCTGTGTGTCTGTGTGTCTGTGTGTCTGTGTGTCTGTGTGTCTGTGTGTCTGTGTGTCTGTGTGTCTGGTGTGTGTGTCTGTGTGTCCGTGTGTCTGTGTGTGATACATGTTGAATTTCCCCGTCACTGGTGACGCATGTCGCATCGGCAACTGCCGAAGGTGCTGACAAGGCGCACTCTTGCCAGCGGTCTTCTCGTCCCAAGACTCCTGCGGCCCATCCCCTGAACCCGAGAAGCTCTAGGGCCCAGCCCGCCTTGGAGAGCTCGACTGCGCTCACACCCGCAATCAGCAGCAGCGCGAACTTCATGCCAACAAAATTCGAAGGAAAACCCTGGCCGTCTTGAGTCTTGAGCTGCAGCTGCACGCCGGACTCGTGACACGGCCGTGCCCCGAACCCTCCCTGGGCAAATTCTGCCGTGCAGCCATTCTAGACGGCACGCTCTCGGAAATGGAAGGCGTGCAACGTGGCATCCGCCTTTTTCGGGGCTGAAACTGGAAACAGGGAGTCGTCTCTTCGTTTTGGAATCGCCCACCCTCTGCGCCGCCGGGTATCAGCTGTACAAAGCGCTCTCTGTGCGCGCAAAAGTGTGAACGCGAAAGGCGCGTGTTTGGCCAGGAAAAAGTGCGGTTGAACCGCTGCAGGCCCGCAAAAGGACCTTTCCTGGTCAAGTGGCAAGCGTCCTTCCGATTGCCCTCTCTGAATGCAAAAAGCTTCGTTACTGGACAAGTCTTTAGGCGGTTTGTTATCAAGGATGTTGCTTTGGCACCGTGCTTCCGGCATGGTTCTGTGCGCCATGCCTTCCCTGCTTTGATCAGCCGCAGCACCGGCCAGTCATATCGGCTGGCACGAGGCTCAGAAGGAAGAAACACCTCTGCCAAAGCAGCATGACTTTACTCGAATCGCAGCACATCCAGGATTGCTACACACTCCTTCCCAACAACAACGGGCAAAAGTTGCAATGCTCGCACGAAATAGAACCGAGAGGGCAGCGTTCAAAGCTGTTGCCCCAGCATTCGAAAATCCTTCTTTGCAAATGCTTCCAAGTGCCTCCCGGCCATGGTTTGCTTTTGGATTCGAACAAGCTCCTCGAAAGCCATTTTGCTAACTTCCAAAATGGGAGAAAGTGTGACTGGCTGAAACATACGGCTTTTGCCACAAAAAGCAATGAACATCGTTGCGCTTCAGCAGCCATTGCTCCTCCATTGCGACTGGCAGACTGGCATGCTTTCAACCCGAAGCTTACGTAAACTTTTCAACCAAGTCCCAAGCAGTCGCTAGTCACTCTGCTGACAAAGGGCTGAAGGAGCTACCGCAGCCACACTTGGAGTCCGCAAGCTTGTTCTTCACCACAGAGAAGGAGGCGCGGATCATTTCCTTCGCGCAGAAGGCTCGACTTGACGGGAGTGCTTCTTCTTGTCCCTTCTTGTCCCTTCTTGTCCCTTTCTCCTTTCCACTCCAATGATCTATAGTTTTGGGTCATGGAAGGTGGTAGACGCTGGTGGCTGTCTGGTTTTGTAGCCGTTGCATCCCTCTTCAATGGCATCGGCCTTTTTGAGTTGAATCATCCCAAAGCGCCGTCCTCGGTGTAGTCGATCTCGCAATCCTCCAGGAAGGTCATGGATAGCTCATCCACAAAAAGGCGCGCACCATTCTGGCGGAGTTCCCCGATCAAAAGAAATGAAGCTTCCGAGAAACGCGAAGACCCAGCCGGACACGGAAGGGGTGGCAAGCAGTCTTTTCAGCTTCATGACTGGATTGTCTCACGCCCAGCTCGGCAAAGGCACCCCTCGCCTGGTTGATCACAATGTCGTCAGCAGCGGCCTTGAGGTCGCCTGCGGTGAGCTGTGAGGAACCACCCTTCATACGCAAAGCGAATCCATGAGTCACACAAACAAATGCCCCAAGTGGCCCCAGTGGCGTGATAAAATTGACGCGGAAAGGAGCTGCCACTCACTTGAAACCCCCATGTAGGTAGCTGAACTAAACACGCCCAGGCCGGTGTAGCCGTCGTGATCGGCAACCCCGAAATGAGCGACAAAACGGCCAAAACGGCCCATGCCTGGCTCGATTCCTCGGCAAAGAAACTCCCAAGCCACAGCAAGCGAGGCCTGAAAAGCTGTTCCCTCCTCGACCTTCCATCACCACGGCAATGCGGGCCCGCAATCACTCGGCGCAATTACCGGGAAAGCCATGAGTGTAACCGAGGAGCTGAATTCGTACGAGTAGCCCGAGCCTTGGACATGCTCTAGGAGCATGGCGGGGGCGTGCCAAACAAACTTCCAGACTGCTCTGGAGGGACGTTGGGACGTCCCACAGAAAGGAAGTCGAGAAAGAACTAAAAACAAAACGTCCAATCCGAGAGCACACAGAAACAAACAACACAACACAGATTCGAGGGGTTATTTGCGTGGCGCCTGACGCCTTGCATCTTGCCAGGGCGCAGCCGCCACTGTTTACAGTCAGCCGCAGGACCTCAGAGGTCCCATGCGTGAGGGCTGACCCTGTGGACCGCCGCCACTCAAGTGGTTGGAAGAACACCTCATGGTTACCCTGGAGATTGCCAAAGGAAAAGTGTTGCTGGAAACACCGAACGCATCAAACGCTCTGAAATGGAAGATGCTGGCTCTTGCCGGCTCCCCTTCACACAACGCGGCACACAGCGTAGAGATTCGGATCAGATTGGGTACGATGTGCCTGGGGCAACGTTCTGAACTCCAGACCTTGCTCTGATCACAACTATTTCAAGATAGGGAGCTCGTGTCCTTGTCGCGCTGGACCCGTTTGGGTCGACTAGAGTCTAGAGGGGGTGGAGACCTTGCCTGAAGCTTTGGCAGGCAATTGACTCGCCAGAGGGCTCTATCTGTATGCTCCTCCGAATTCTGAGCACAATCAGACAGGCAAAAGATGAGCGATCGACACCGCGCCATACTTTTGCTTATCAAAGTGAACGAAAAACTGGATCTTCTTGGCGCTGACATTCCTGAACCGCGTGAAAATCAATTAATTGAAATGGTCCACGGTCCACCCAGAACCATGTAAACAACTTCAACGGCGGCTGCACCCATCTATGTTTGGGACTACCCCTTACTAACCTCCATCTACCTGGGTTTTGATTGCGGCTCGAGTGAAAAGAGCACCTCGCGAAGCGGTGAAGCTTGCAAAAGAAGTTGTGCGTCGGCCGTGGGCCTCGAAGGTGCGACGGTGCACATCCCTTCGAGGCCCACGAGCTTTGGCAACTCCTGTGTCAGGGCTTTGGCTTTTGGCGCTGGTCCAGATGGACTGACTCACAGCTCCCACTTTGAATCCTGAAAATGTCGCCTTGAGACTGTCGCTTCGGGCCATCCGAGACGAACGGTCGAGCACCGAAGACCCAGAACTGGCAAAATGGCAAGAGACCTGGGCAAACGCGTGCCCGGCTGCGGGCGTGCGTCACACCATTCGGGCGGGCCCAGGCAGCTCTGGAGGCGTGAAGCGCTTCAGCATCAGAGAGCTCAGCACCTGCTGCAAGATACTCTCCCGGGATAAGTGCAAAACCACATGCCTCACTCCCAAACCCATCCCAGCCCACCAGCCCACCAATGTCCATCCAGACTTAACTACCCACTCCTTCAAGGCTGGAGCCTGGCAAAGTTGCACAGTGGAAGTTGGCTCAGGTCCCCTTTGGGAGGAAAACCCCCTTATGTGGGCCAGCCCCCCCAGAAGCCTCGAGAAGCCTGATCCCAAGACCTTCAGGAAGCTTTCGGATTGTTTCTCACTCTGATTCGCCGTGTGTTCAACAGCAACGGCTTTTGGGCCGGTTCTCCACAGCCAGTTTGCCAAGTGGCCACAAAAAGCGATGACCCCAACATCAGGAGGCAGGCAATCTGCGGGTTGATGAGCCTGAGCTAAAGAAACGAGCTCAAAAACTCGGCCCGCGCTGCTCCCGAAACGGCATGACCCATAGGCTGTATTTGGGTATCTTTTTTGGTGGTACCCTCCATTTTGCGAGGAAAACCAAAAATAAAACCACTATTTGTGTCTTGCCGCCCGAACAACGAAGAAAGAAAAACGCCCATTCATTGTAAACAGTCCGAAGGCGGGGATGCCCCAAAGTTTCCAGCAGCCCAATGTTGCCGGGCAGCACGCCATATTGCCAGAAGGCGCCAGCTGCGAGAGGCAACGCGCAGATGTTGAACATGAAGGCCCACCTCACTGCTACGGTCTTCCCACATAGAAGAAACAAAACATTGGAATACGGCAAATCGTCATCAAGAGCACCAATTTTGGGGGCTCATTGCGAACAAGTTGTTGTTGTTGTTGCTCCATCACCATTAGCCACCGGATGGCAAGATTCTCAGAAAGACCATGGCTACCCCTCAAGAGGACAAGAAAGTGAGCAGCGGTCGTGCAAGGGGAACGCATGAAGAATGGCGCCGAGCCACATGAAGTTGAACCAAATTGTCTGCAGAGTTTTCTTCGACAAGGCGAAGAATGCCAAGAGGTCGCGGAGGTCGCTTCTCACCAAAACAATGTCTGCCGCATCCACCGTCACCTCAGGAATTGTTCAAACCACCAGGGCATCCAAATTGCCACACACACACACACACGCACGCACACACGCACACACACGCGCGCACACACACACACATGCAAACGACAAAAACAACGCCTTCAAGCCTCGAGTTTACTCTCAGCTCGCCTGTTGCCCTGCTCCGATGGCCACGCTGAGGTCTGCAGCGGCCAGGGCGGGGGCATCATTGACACCTCGCTCCAGCACTTTTTGACGGGTGCCAAAACCAAAAAAACAAGGAGATCTTGGGGAGTGAAAGGTAACGCGCTCGTGGTGCATGGCGCCAAAAGGACCAAGCATGGTTATAGCGCAAGCGATCCAAGGAGGGTCGGTGGCCCCAAGTTTGAGAGCGTAGGCCTCTCCAAAGTGGCCAAGATGCCTTCCGGGCAAGCGACTCGTCTCCACCACCCCATCCCCCCTCGATTTTGCAAAGGAGCCATCACCCACCATGGCCACAATGGATTTTGGGCTCTGTGAAGTCTTCGCTCCTGGGTGCCAACAGCAGCCAGCCAGGAGAAAACCAATCAAAGCACCGAAGCAGCCGATATCACCCAACAACATTGCGATGAAATGTTCAGAACTGCACTAAGTAATTGGTAGACAGCTGCACAAGCACGTTCAGGTGCTTGGTCTCGAAGGTGGAGGTTTGCAAAACGGCAGGTCGCCTATCCGCCTCTCTGGTTCTTGCCCACGGTTGTTGAAAGCCATCAGCGTTGATGCTCAGAACTGCTCCGATTTACTTGATGTCATGTTCCCTGAACGGGGCCAATGTGCCCCCACATGAGGGAGCTTGTAGTCGTCTGTGCGGGCCCAGGTGAGTTCTTGGCATTGCACTGTGGCGGACCAGAAGCGGCCTAAGCAGCCTAAGAAGCAAACCAAAAGGCGGGTGGATGGTGACCCCTTGGCAGCAGCTCTCTGCTTCCATCCATCCATCCATCCATCCATCCATCCATCCATCAAAGGTCCTTGTTTTTGTTTTTGGGACCTGAACCCCCCGGCCCTCTGGCCTGGATCCTTCTGCAAGGATTTCACCAGGCGCACCTTGTCGGCCGGCAATGCCTCTGCCACCTGGGGTACTCACTCTGAGCCACTCAATACGGAAAAACGAGTCCGCCGCGCAGTTGGTCTAGTTCAGAAACTAGGGGGATAAAACTTGTGGCTACCAAACAGCTGAGCCCATGCAAATGTCTGTTGTGCACATCACTCTTCCTGTCGCAGATTGCATCGGTGTCGAATGCCTCACATGCCGACACTGAGTGCTTTTCAGGCGAAATTTCTACCTGCGCCCCGCAGAATCAGCTCAACCGAGTCGCCACGCGGTCCTTGGCAATGCCAACCTCGCTTGCCACTGCTTCTGCGGCCATTTGGTGGTCGCCAGTGCACATCCAAACCTGGCGCGGCCAGGCCAGAACATACAAAATACAAAGCGCGACGCTCATTTCAAGCGCCTTTCCTGCAAAGTCCTGCCCATGAAGGAAATCCTCTTGGCACATTACTGCAGATCATGCAACTCGCGCCAATAAGCAGTTGACGTTGCACCCCTTTTCTCCCAAGACCAAGACAAATAGCACCCTTCCGAGCATAATTCATCTGGCCCGCCATGATCCAATGGTTTGGCTTCCTTGGGTCAAGCCACCGTTTCACCTTCCCCTTCTTTCTTGCAACATGCTGTACGCCTCCATGCCCGCCAGCTCCAGCTGCGCCACGCAGGCACGGGCCCGGGGCGCAAGCGCGTCCCGCAGCGCCACCGCAGCCAGCGTGGTGCCACCCACCGCCACCGCCACCACGGTGGCGCCCGCCGACATCTGGGCCTGGCGCATCGACACATCCTCCGGGGCCTCGCCTTTGCTGGGACTCCTTGGGGGTTTTGGGCGGGATGAAGGTGGGGATAGTGAGCGGCATGTGACATGCCCTTTGCTAGCTTCGCAAACTTGGAACAATCATGGTAACTGGGGCGGCGTTTCTGTGAAATGGATGCGTACCTTTGAAAAAAGGTCACTGTACTGTGCTGGAAACTGATTTGTTTGCCAAGAAGGCCATGAACCAGGGCTTTCGATGACGTTTCTGTCTGCCGTCTAGGGAAACTCGGGCCTTCAGCTGGGCCAGGCCAAATGAGCCCTTCAGTTAGCTCGACATGGTCCCACTCGTCTCCTGCATGGGCTCTCGTGCACTCACGAATTCGCCAGGCAGTGGCAAACGCTCAAAATTTCAAACCTTTGGCCTCTCGGTCCCTTAGCTACAGATGCTTCCAGTAGAAGTGGCTCAGTGGTTCAACTCATCAGCCAAAAAGGACCCGCGCATCCATTGCGCCCACTAAACCAGCCTCCGTCCATCCCAACAGCGCGTGCTGGCTGCCTCACGCACATAGACCAAAGTCTTTCTTGTTGCACAGCCATTCAAAATGTAAGTTCTTCTCCTCACGCCAAGGGAGCAACGCAGCCATACACACATATTCCATGTGCACATGCTCCTTAACTCTTTAGACTTCGGAGGTCCTTGGGCAAGCGTCACTAGCATGGAACAGGGCGCAAAGTGTGCACTGGCCACCCCATCCACTTGATTGGCACGGCGCTCAGGATGTGCTTGGCCGCAGTCACCTCCACTGACAGGTCCCCCAGCATGCAGCGTAGCCCCACGCCGGTCCTGGGCCGCGACCCCCTCTAACCAGTCAGCAGCAATAGCCTATCCGTTTGATTTGGACAAGGAATCGAACAGCCGCTGCAAAAAATGAGCCCCGGCAATATCCCCAACAGCCCCGGAAACCACTGGAACCCTCCCTGAAAGCTGCCCCTGCCCGGAGCGGCTGGGGAAAAAACAGAAAGGAAGCCTATGTCATCCAAAGTCGCAGGTTCTCGAAGCTCTCCGGCTTGGACAAAGACACCCGCGCCTTTTGCCCTGCCAGCTCCACTAGCCTTGAAAGCACAATGGCCGACTCAATTGCACCGCTCCAAGCCCAGCAAGAAGGCCATAATAACACTGCACAAAGGCCGACAAGTCATGTTGGCTCGGATTGATCTAAGAAGCCTGTTGGCAAATTGCACGCCACACGCGGCGGGAACCAATGTGCTGGAACAGCACGTGGTGTGACATAAAGAGCGTGAAAAGGCTGATGCCACGCAATTGTGACGTCTTTGGACATGGGCTTGGAGTGCAGCAGGGAAAGTCAAAGGAAAGCTGAAGCGCGATGCATGTCGGACACTGTTGAAGATAATCATGATGGTGTGATGATGGCGGTGGTGGTGGTCATGATGCTAATGCTGATGCGGCTGCTGCTGCAGGTGAAAAATGGGAATGACCCACGAGGGTCTTGCTAAAACACGCCAAGACGGCGCAACGGAGTAAGAGTGTCAGCAACAAAATGACATGGGAAAATGTTCCAGTCTGCTGGGAATTCATGGTCACACTGCACTCTGAGCTTTTCGTACTTTGTTGGGTCGTTGAAAGGCCAATGTTTCAACATCGGGACCTGACTGGCTAGGTTCGGGCAAGCTGTCAGGGGGCTGTCAGGTAGCACCCAAATTTGTTCCTCTATCGGGGCTGTCGTCTTGTTCCCTCAGGTAGCATTCCAGCATTCGGCAGCCAGAAGTCCGACGCCGTGGGCTAGCAGCAGCAAGCAGTCCATTCAAGGTCAAGAATCCTGAAACACGTGTTTCCTGTAGGGCGCGGTGCAAACACATACATGAATGTCTCACCATTGCGGGGCCCCCTAACAAGACAGACCCACATCTTCCCCATGTGCCGAGCGGCTCCTTGGCCAGGGAATGTTCGCCTCATGGCTGGCCAAAACTGTCATGCAAGTCGGTTGTGCTGACCCAGCGATCATCGGGCAAACCAGGGGAGGAAAATATTGCAGCGCAAACGTTCAGTTGCAGCCACTTTGCAAACCAAAACGCTTGCGAGGCTTGAGAGAATCATGCAAGCAACCAACTAATGGCCAACTAATGGCTAGCATCCAGGGACCCACCCCCCCATTCCCGGATCCTCATGGGGAATGCGTCACAGCCAACTCTTGCCCCCCCCCAAAAAAATAAAAAAAGAAGAAAAAAAACACAGATTCCAACCAACTGCCCTGCCCAAAATGCGTCCCCAACCTGCCAAAGGCGCTTGAGATCTCCGCAGAGCCCAGGGCCCACCACAGCGCCCGCTCAGCCTGACACGAACAAAAACGCGCCCAAGGTCTAGTCAGAGTTGGATTCCGTGGCAGGGTGGTTCCAAGATCCTGCGAAGCCAGGCTCAAAGATAGGAAGAAACAGGAGAACTGGCGTGTGCTACATACTGGGTCTACTGAACTCAGGCGAGCACGACCTTAGAAGAAAAAAGCTTGAGCTGCAATGCGGAAAGCCTCATTAAGCCACACCTCTCGCAACCCCCAAAAGCTGGGCAGGGGCACCTCATCAAATACAAATGCTGCTCGTTTTCTCATGGGCCATGGGCCATAGGCCTAGGCCTAAATCCATCACAGCAGTTAAAGTAACATGCGGAGAACTTCTGCCAAACAAACGCCCTTCTGCAAGTTACCCTCAAGCGACTCCAGTATGCAAGGCAGGGGCGGCCAACCAACCCTCCGGGAAAGCCAACCCCGCCTCGGTACGGAGCTGCTCCCGCGCTTTCGCAGCCTCGCTTCCTGTCAGCAAGTGAGCCCTTCGCGCGGCACGCACCAAAGCTAACGTCATGTCTGTTCTTCGCAAGGAAGCCTGAGCAAATTAAACACACCGCAAAAGGAAATACATTCCTGCCACGAACATGGGGGTGTGGTTGCAATTGTGCTCTCTTCCACTGTCTGCATGATCTGAGGATGCCACCTGCATAACCTCAAACCAAAAAAAAAAAAAGAGACGTTATTGTAGAACACTGAGACTTCAAAGTCCTCATAGCTACGTGCTAGCCTTGATGCATATCCCACGCGCCGCCACGCCTGCTTCAGCATTTTACCAACCCAAAAGCTACGCTTAGCCATTCCATGCTCATGCCCATCACAGGGAGAAGTCAGCCCCAGCAAAAACCGAATTGGCATAGAGCACAACACAACGCAGTGTCGCCCTCCGCTGGTCCTGGCAGTGTCAGCCGAAGCCTGGCCAGGAGTAGTGTGCATTCCAAGGGCCTAAACCTTTCTAAGCGGCCCCTTGGAAAAAAGCATGGCGTGATCTTTCAGACCAGCGTGGCAACTGGATTTTCAGAGATCTGAAATCGTGACAATGCATCCAAGGGCTTCAAGATGCTTATATATTGGTGACTGCATCACTAGCCCGACATGCCTATTTAGGGGACCGACAATTCTTTCTGCTCTTCTGTCCGCGCCTGCTCTCGGAGTCCTTGGTGGACTCTGAGGGACTGGGGCTCGAATCCTGACATCGGACTCAGAGGCTGAGGGTCGAGTGAGGCTTCAGCCACACGACTTGCAAAGCTCAGAGGGGCAACTTGCCCTTTAGGCAATGGCATGACTCGCTGCGGTCCTCGCAGCTCGCAGTTGGCCAGCGGATAGCTTCCTCAAGCAACGGCAGGTGCCCTCGCCACCCGCCCTCCAACTCCCAGCCTGGCTGAGCCAATCCGTCGGCAGATCAGAAGCAAAGGCGACCTTACGCGCCACCTTGGAAGCAGCGCGGTGGTCTCTGAAGGCCTGCAGCAGCTCTCCCCAGCTCTCCTGCGGCGTCCCACAAATGACCCAAACTCCTTGAGACTTGAGAGAAGGGCAGACACCGCTGGCCAAAAGAGCTAACATATCTTTAGGCGGACACTTGTTCAGCTTGACTCCACGCGAAAGCTGGTCTGAAGATCGTCCCTTTCCCCATCAGACTTGGACAATCTTGAGGGGTGGCGGGTGGGACGGTACGAGATGCCCCATCCGGATCATGCCACATTCCGGGTTTGCAAGCTACGGAGGAAGGGGGGGACGGACTGCATCGGTCGTTTGAGGCCCTGCTGTGTCATTGGCAAAGAAGCCAGGCAACTATAAGGCGCGTTTCAGCCTGTGTTGCAAACGCCTCCACTCAGCCCACCATCAGGCTCCTCCATCGCCCATGGGCACACCAACGCTGCAGCAACCTGGCCCACACACGCTTGCGCAGGTCCAGTTGAAATGCATGCCCACTCCGGATTCTAAGATGACACTGTGCAAAATGGTGGAGCTGAAGAAAAGCTTAAATACAGCGCCCCCTCCACACAAAGGTTTGCTACCCTTGCACTGGCTAATCCTTGCACCGGCAGACGTGCCACATTGCTCCCATGCTTCTCGGAAGAACCTCCGCGTCAAGACACTGACTTTCACGCCAGGTGACGGCGGAGGGCTTACCCGTGGTGAGGGTGCCTGTCTTGTCCAGCACCACCTGCTCGCACAGCTGGCAGCTAGCACACCCGGCCTTTGATCTAGTTTGCCTCGCCTTCAAATTTGTGACCTGAACTCTGAAGACCATACGCAGATGCCCCCCAAGAAAAAAGGAAGCACCCTTCGGCAAGCAAAGCTGGATGCAATGGTAAGGCTCTTACAAAAGCTTGGTCCAACCATAATCTTACAAAACAGTATGAATGCTGGGGGCCTGCATGCGCTTGCGCCCAAATCCGTTGCCTCAACTTTTCAAGCAGCTGCGCAGCATCACAAATCAATTGCCAAACCCCAGCCCAGTCGAAACTTGCCAGTGTCAAGCAGAATCAACCTGGGAACTAAAATTCCTGACTGCTCAAGCTCCTTTGATCCTTGGGATTTCTCCCTCAAAATGATTAGGTCGCTCTTCTTGCCCCCGCATGTCGCTTTCAACGCCCGCAAGCCGACCACACCTTTGCCCGCCTTCTGCACCTGGGAGCCCAGCTCCAGCGGCTTTGCACCGCTGCGCACCTGGACGCAAAGTACGCGTCGAAAGAAAATGAATGAGCATAGTTGCTGGCTTGATGCCAAAACAATATCTGCCGAAGGCAAAATTAACCTGTTATGTGTCTAAGAAGCTTAATACTTTTTCAAAAAGAAGGCATAGAAGGCCAAAATTTCAATGGCCTTCCAACCTTTCGATCTTTTTTGATCTTCACCCGACCCGACCCGACCCGACCCACCCCCCACGCCCTTCGTGCCCCGGTCCGAGGGGCCAGGATGCCACAGGAGGCCGCGGCCCCGGTGGCCGCCATCACCGCGGTGGGCGTGGCCAGGCCCAGGGCGCAGGGGCAGGCCACCAGCAGCACGTTCAGCCCGTGCTCCAACACGAAGAAGGCCTGCGACGGTCACTGGACGAGCGGTTGGTCCAGAATAGGTACCAAAAAATAAATTCTTGGCAAGTGGGAAAAATGGACTAAAACATGCGGCTTGCTGCTGGTCGAAAAGAAAAACAACGAGCCCCAAGAATGGGATTGGACTTTTGGCCATCTTGCCGAGACCTGCAGCTGGACCGGTGCAACAAGCAAACGAACCTTACAGCCATGTTGTCAGGCTGACCGCGTGGATGCGGCTTCAGCTGGGTGCAGCGTTTTCCCATTCCAGCCTTGTCCAGCTCCGGCCAGTTGCTTGTGCGGCCCCTTAGGATTGACGCAAGCGGCACCACCTCAGATCTCAGGTCAAGCGATCGCAACACAAAAGACCAGCCCCACCTTGTGGGACCAGTCAAGGAAGGAAACAAAGCCCACGCATCCACAAAGTGCCCAAATAGAAGCACTCAATTCGCCCAGCCTGCCACGTGTAGACCAGCAGGAACCACACACCTCGGATGGCCGAACATCGAGGATCAGCGGTGCCACCTACAGCACAAAAGTGACAAGATCATGAACTCCTGGCATACCAACAAAAAGCCGATTTTTGGGCAAGTAGATTGAAAAACGTACCCCCCACCACCAATTAACATGGAACCGACCGTCCCTTCAAAAGGTGAAGTCCGCAGGTTCCACGCAAGCGGCAGGGTAGCCCAATCGCTACCAATCTCCTGAGAGCTTGATGGGTGCCATGCCGAGGTGCCCCAGGTCACCACACTCAGCGCCACGATGCCAGGCACAAAGTGCCGGGCGATCTGGTCCGCGATGTGCTGCACGGGAGCGCGGCTGAGCTGGGCCTCCTCCACCAGGGCCATGATTTGGCTCAGCATGGTTTGGCTGCCCAGCTTCTCCTAGGCAGCCGATGCCCCAAGAACATGGAGCTAGGCATTCTGAAAACGGGGTGCGTTTGATGTGCCGAGGCGCTACTCGCATTTCCACACGGCCCGTCACGCACTTGGACCCGCCGATGACCACGTCGCCAGCGGCCTTCCGCACTGGGCGGCTCTCGCCTGTGAGCAGCGACTCGTCGAAATCGGCGCTGGCGGAAGTGAGGACTCCGTCAGTGGGGACCTGGCTGCGAACATCGGTGTCAGCTTTGGATCGCAGCACAGTTGCAGACAACCGCCAAAACCCGCCAAGCAGCCAGGAAGCCCATGATCGATCCCAAACAATCATCCCAAAGTCCACAACAACACGCCGGCAGTCCCCGCCGTCTCCCCTGGGAAGACTTGCAGAGTATCCCCCAGCTGCAGCAACTGCGCAGGCACCTCCTCCACCTGAAGAGCTCGCCACTGTGCCATGCGTTCATGAGACGTAGCCAAACAAAGGAGTGAAGGGCTTGGATCATTCAATTGAGCAACTTGGGCACCGGGCCCTCAAAGTTTGGGGGAGCAATTAGTTGTTGTCTCTGGCCCCAAGACCCAACATTATGCCCGAGACGCGCAAAAGAACGAAGCGCTGCTGACAAAAATGCTGCACCAATATCGGCCACTGTTCACCACCGCAGGTTTCGCGCAGGAATGCTTTGCGAATGTGCGACCCAGGCTCACCCTCCTGCCTTCCCCCACCCTCCTGCCTTCCCCCTCAGCCCTATCACCCACAGGTTTGGGCCAATTCCTTTCAAACGGTCGTATCTCAGCACACCCCTTTCAGTGCCAGTGGATCTGGAAGAAAACAAGTTAGGGGGCTTCTCAAAATGGTAGGCCCCTCTTTGGCTCTGATGGTTTCAAAGCGAAATCCTTCAAGCAAACAAGAAAGAAAACGAGAAACAAACACACCTGGCTGGGGTTCAAAAAAAACAGTACCAACATGGAACCCTGGTGAGTGTGTTTTCCATGGGCCAAAACCTGCGGTTTGCCCCTCCTTCAGTTCAATTTTGAGCCACACCCGTGGCAGAAGTCGACCTGGAGTCTACCCATGGCAGATGATTGAACCACCAGGTAAACCAGGGCCAATTATTTTCTAGCAAAACAACCAAAAAGGACACCTATGCGTGGGGCTTTTGCCCCTCCCTCCCATGCGACCCACCCGGTTGTTGCTCCGAGCCCTGCCTCGACGCCCCGCAGCAGGTGGGCGGTCTGCGGCTTCAGCGCCAGCAGCTGCCGTAGCGCCTGGGAAGCCCCGCTGCGCGCCCAGGCCTGCGGGGGCTTTGGGCTGAGACGTTCTCTCTGTTTTTCTCGCGACGGTCTAAACCCAGCTCACGTTCCCTATTAACGGGTGAACAATCCGACACTTTGGGACCTCTGTGTTTCAATGATAGGAAGAGCCGACATCGAAGGATCAAAAAGCAACGTCGCTATGAACGCGTGGCTGCCACAAGCCAGTTATCCCTGTGGTAACTTTTCTGACACCTCTAGCTGAATATTTCTCAGACCTAAATGATCGATAGACCATGTTTTCACAGATCGTATTCCTGAAAAGCAAAATCAAGCAAGCTTTTCCCCTTTTGGTCCACATGAGATTTCTGTTCTCATTGAGCTTACCTTAGGACACCTGCGTTATCATTTAACCCACCTGACTATGTCTTTCGCGCAAATCCTTAAATCAAAAACTCGCACGATGCGAGCTTCAGTCTCACGGAATAAGTAAAATAACATTAAGAGTAGTGGTATTTCAAGATCACCGGAGCTCCCACTTGTGCTGCACCTTTTTCTCTTTTTTTCTAACAAAAAAGTTGTTTGTGTTTATTATTATTATTATTATTATTATTATTATTATTATTATTATTATTATTATTATTATTATTATTATTATTATTATTATTATTATTATTATTATTATTATTATTATTATTATTATTATTTATTATTATTATTATTATTTATTATTATGTATTTTTAATGTCAATTTTACCACAATAAATGAATACCACATGTTTTGAGGGCCTCAATATGGGTGCGGATTCCCCTCAATATAGAGCTTACCAGAATAGATGACATGTTTGTAACCAAAGACAGGTAGCTCCTGCTGAAACCCTTGAAACTTTTTTGCAATCCTCCCAAACCCTCTCATGTCTGGAGCCCAGAGAGGCAAATCTCCTCAGCACACCTCTTTCAAAAGAACAGAACCAGGGCCCTGAACCTTCAGCCAAGCAAGCATCGGGGAGAGCTCCTCTGAAGGAGGAAGAGGGGGGGGAGGCATACACCCGAGGATTGGCTTCTTTGAGACTTGATCAAGACCTTCGGGGGGCCGTTGGCCAAACTTTTCCCAAGAATCCAAGCCAGTGACTCGGACAGTTTTCGCTGACCTCTCTCATCGACTCTTGTTGGTTTCATGCCCACTCACCTCTCACCGGGAAAGACTGCGAGCCAGGCGTTGCTTGGCCCGCCAACTCCGAGCTCCGAGTTTCAAGGAGGGCTTCCTATTTGCTGACTGCCTCCAGGTACTTGCCGACCAGGATGGTTGTAATCCTCAGGCGTCAGCATGAATCCAGGGGCCTCGTGCAATTCTCAAGCACGCGAGGCCACATCGGACAAAACAAACCGCGTCAGTCAAAATCAAACGAGAACATGATGGAACATACAGGAGCGTGCGGATACAGCAGGTCAAGCAAGGACAAGTGTACTAGTCCCTTCACCGTTTCCTTCCCACCACCTCCTCCACGCCCGCCATTCGACTCGTCATTCCCTTCATCTCCGTGTGTTCACTCCATTGCGCAATGCACAAACAAAAACTGGCCAGCTGCCTTCATCACAACTGCCCAGTGTCATCCTCAGAAACTCTCCTTGCAACGACAGCAGCCAGGGCACACAAAGCAGGGAGTCTCAAAGTAGGAAGGGGGCGGCGCTTTGCAGTCCATGGTGCTGCCGCCGATGTGAAAGGCGACGATCATGAAAAGCATTACCTGCGCTACTCTCCATTGGAGTTGACCGGAACAGCTGCGAAAGAAAAGAAGAGGGACCTGTTTACCGTTCAAGCCCTCCAAAAATGTTGCCCTGCCAGGCCACCATCAAGGAGTAGAGGAAACACAGCGCGGTCCCCAAGGAGATGAGAACATTCATGTCCCAGACTCCACTCCTCAGAGCAAAATCTGAAACTTGCCTCTGCACCATCAGCCCCGGAAGTTTATACCCACATGACGTGGCATTTCGTCGGCTCCGTGCAGCATCAATGCCAACAAATGTTGCCAAACCTGGCACTGAAGGGACCTACCGGCCCACCCGGGCGCCGCACCTATGGTTGCGACTATCCCCAAAAACGTTCACCACTCAGGTGTTTGATTGGGTTTCATTTTAAACAAGGTAGCTGGGCGGGGCAATAAAAATGCCTTCACGCTTTCCTTGAGCTGGGCTGCTAGGCAGTCACGCACGCCTCTACCCAACCCCCAGAGGGATAACCCAAACCAGCAACCTGGCGACCAATCCGGCTTCAAACTCCAAGCATCATCACCGCATGGTAGGCGCCCAAGTGAAAGCGAAAGCCGCAAAAGAGCTGCACCGGCGTGGCCAGCGCTCCCAGTAGCACCGTGATGCAGGGCAAGCCAGGCACCAGGTGCTTGTACAACACGTGCTCCTAAAGCTTTGCACAAGCTCGGGTTTCGCTCAAGCACCTGGCTCCAAGCCTTGTTGGATGGTTCAGCATCAAGCGATGCTAGGGTTACGACTGGCAAAAAAACATGGCCAAAACCCCAACGCTCCGAGTTCACCCCTAGGAGCAGCTTCCAACTCGCCGAGCAGCGCAGTGCTCAATGCAGGGCAGCACGTCGCTGACGAGAATGATGCCCATGGTCAAAAGCACTGCGGTTGGAAGTCCTGGCATTGCAAAACCTGCGCCCCGGCGACATTGCCGACCATGCACACATCAGTCTTCTTAGGGCTTCTGTGCCCAAGTCATGAAAGTGCTGTTTTGTTTTGTTGTGTGTGTATTTTGTTTACATACTGCCTTCAGACAGGCAGAAGCTATGCCACCCGGTCCAGTACAACATCCTGCTTTTGCTAGCTAAAGAAGTCCCTCCACTCCCAGTCCTCTTGGAACCGCTTCAGCCGCTAGCTTGCCTCCCGCATGGTCCGTCTTCACTTGCAGCCCGTGCTTCTTCCTGTGCTGTTGGCGGCCCCCCTTTGGACCGCTACTAAGAAGAGGAGCTCCTCAAACGTCTGTGAAGTACATCGTGCCTTAAAGGGAACCTGTTTAGAGGTTCTCACAACTACCCTTGAGGGCACCATTTACAGGGAAATATGGAGGATGTCTCTTTAACGGACCTGATGCATCAACCTTTGGGACTGCTTTGATTGCGAACCTTTGTCTGGAGCGCGTTGCTCGGGCTGACAAAAGCTCAAAGATGGCCTGCGCAAGAGCTGATTTAAGCCCCTGCCTTTTGCAGGATCGGCTGAAAGACCTGAGTCCCTTTCATCTGTGCATCCGGCTTTCTGCTAGAGGCATTGCAGCTGCAAGCCATCAGAAAGTTGGCCCTCCCAAGCCCACTGGCCCCCCCACACTATTTGGGGGGAGGTGGGTCAACCAAAAAACCAAAAACATGGGCCCTTTGCTCACCCCCTTGTGCAAGGCGGCACACGGCCGCCTTAAGGGTGGCAGCGCTTCAGCAATTGCTTGCCAGGGCGCAGGACTGCCACCAGATCCCGTGCCCCTGCATGTAAGGGGTCGAAGGTGACGCAGAGCTCGTCGACATCTGCGCTGACAGATCAGCTTCCCTCCAACTGGTTTGGTGGTTGGTGGTTCATGAGGGTTTCCCATTTACCCTCTACAAGAACCAAGGCTTCAAATCCCCAAACCACCAATCCAAACTACCACTCAAGGGCAACCCGCACAGCCCCAGAAAAATGATAAATAAGCTCCCCTTGGTAGCTTTTGGTGATTGCTCCCTCCAAGCTTCAACGAGAGCTCCGATTCGTGATGCCGGCCTTGCCAGAACAGTTGTTAGGCAACGCTGGAAGCGCTTGAAGTCCCCAGATGTACATTTCATTTGAGAATCGAGGATGACCAGAGATTCCTTCACTCCCCTCACAAACCGCTTAACGAGGCCTGCTCTGCACTCCAGGACGCCAGGCGTGGACTCAAGGCTAGCGATTCCGGCATCCCGGCCTGGGCTTTGCAAGAGATCAAGGTCAAAGTCTAGCGCCGCCACTGATGCCCACTTCCGTTGGTTCTCAGGCTGCCGGCATTGCTGTCATGGCATGAACGCACACCCTCGCCCAAACCTGCCAACTTAAACCAAAAAAGAAAAGGGCACTGGGCCCAGAAAGCCCGGCCTTTGCCTTCCACCAGCAGGTGCAGCACCACGTGAGCCCCACTCAGTGCTGCCTCATCTTCCAACACACGGGCATCGAAGCCGATAGCTTCCACTTCTTCCTCGGGATGCAAATGTGAAAGGGAAGCGGCGCGCAAACATCCCGGCAAAATACGGCTAGGAATTCTATTAGGCCAAGTGCCTCAATGATGTCCACCAAAGGGTCCCTGATTTAGATTCAGACTGATCAAGTTGTGTTGTGGCGTGTTTCGTTCTCCTCTGTACGTTGCCCTTCAAAGACATCAAGTCAAAAGGCGCATGAACCAAGGGTCCAGGAACAGCTTTCTTGGCCTCCCTCTGGCAAGTCACGCAAAGGTCTGCTGCGGTACCGCCAGAATAGTGCACAAACGCCTTGCCATTGATGAGGTCCACCTGGAAGCAGTCTTAGCTTGAACAAATGCAGAGGTGAAGCGGATATGTCATACTGTTTTATATTAAAACATTAAATTATGGTTGATTCTGTTGTGTCATAAAATGGTATGACATGATATGTTATTTTGCAGGACTTATACGATAAACATGCATACATGTAAATTTGATTATTTGTTTATATATATATGCATATAGATATACATGTGCGTATACATGTACATTTGCATGCAACTATCATGCCGCGAAAGGGGCCTTCCTTTAAGGTTTCTTGCCTGCTTGCTGTTGACGTTGACCCCATTTGATCCGCGAATTCTTTCAAGCGTGTGCAATCTGCACGTGGTAGACCCCGCAGCAACAACATCCCATGTGCAAACGTGCAAGGCTTCGGCGTGCCGCCTGAATCGTGCTGGCACGCCAGATTCAAATGGCCGTGAGTCAACACCAATGGTACCATTTTGGGGTGGTGCACCTACCCGTTTTAGAGCCTATTTTAGTGGGGATTGGGATGTTCACTGGCGGTACGGGGTTTTGTCCCATAGCCAAATTTGCAGCACCCTGCCAAAGCCCAAACTCTTCTGCTCGTACCTGGCACTTCTCCACGAAGTCCAGACTGTTCAGTGCCCTGCGCAGGCCCAGACTGCGTGTGTGCAGGCTTGCAACCAAAATCCGCACCACGAATTTCCAGTTGCTTGAGAAACAGTTGCACCCTTTTCCGCTGGAGAACATTTTTTGCCTATCTTGCACCCTCTTCCCCCCAGATACATGAGCACTCCTGGTAGCTCCTTTAAGCCTTAGCACCCTCTTTAAAGGCAAATGCGGATACCCGCAGCTCCTCCATTCCAAGCACCAGTTGGAAGCAGAGCCTCTCGGACTCTTGCAGGCCAGCTTTTGGGAAAACTGGCGCGACAGCACGGCCCTGGCGGCGCCTCTCCACTGCGAAGCTACAGTTGGAGCAGGTCATCCCACCGATCTGCAGCACCGCATGCCGCGCACCTCGTGCTGAACCGCAGCGCCGGAGAAGGGGGTGACTGGCTTCTAAAATGTTGCCCAACACTGCATACTTAAAGGGGCAGGGTACTTCGCAAGTGGGTAGTAACCAGGCTTACTAACCACTTAGGAAGCACCCCGCTATAAAGAAGCTTCCCAGAGTCCCTCGGGCCCGTTTAGCTGACACGGCGCTCGCGAGCGGCCCATCCTCTGGGCCTCGCGCAGCCAAAACAGAAGCCCTCTCAATGAAACAGCGGGCAGCCGGGCAGCGATTTGTTTTGCTGTTCATCCCCCCCTGCACTGTAAATCAGAAAAATCGGCATTCATGCTGCCAGGTCCAGATGCCACTCTGAAAGCTGAATGCTTGCCAAGGTACTCGCAGACATGAAATCGTTCCCTATCCTCATTGGGCGTGGGCAACCGAATGGCCACAGGGCAAAACACGGAAAGCAAACAACTGCCACGCCGCCAACTTCTCCCTAGGCTGCCAGGACGTCATGAGGCAACAGGAGACAAACGCAACATCGAAACACGCACGGAAGGTAAAACGACTCAAGCAGCACATGGAAATCGAAACTGCATCCTTAAAGCTACTCCCCCTCCCTCGCCCTGGGCCAAATGAAACGCAAACATACGCAAACTCACCATGAATGCATGTTTGTTCCACAAGGCGAAGGCGCCGTACGGTCCAAGGCTCAAACGTAGACACGTAGTAGTACCGGATCGCGTGAATTGGGCTTGAGCCCGGCTGCGATCGGTGTGAGGCGAGTTTCTGGCGAGTTGAACAAGTCTATGCTTTGGGCTGCCTTTGTCCCTCTTCTGGCTCCCACATTGGCAGCTGCTAACACACGCTCGACCCTCTCCCGTACCATCTCGAGCGTGCGGCGCAATTCAAGTTCTTCTCCTGTGGAGGGCCAATGAGAGGCGGAAATCCGTACTGAAAGGCTCAAGCCATCACTCTGTCAATTCAGGCACACCGCGGCTGAGCTGGTACCCAGGTGTGCCATGGACTGGCACTAAAGACACTAAAAATGCTAGCAAGCAAGCGCTTTTGACACAAACTCCAACTCTTCGCCAACCGACTTGTGTCCTCCAGCTCGAGAAGTTTCTGTACCGCAGCCTCGCCCAAACGCACCGGGTAGTCGCCGCTCGCAGCCTTCCAGTGAAACAGGGGCCTCCACCGCCAAAAAGAGAGACAAGAAGCGTCAATTGCCCTACGGAAATGGCAAGGGGAACTCCTCACACCATTGTAAGTCTCAGCTGCCTTGCGTATATAAGTTGGTTCTGGTACCTCTCTCATCCTCTGTGAAAAGCGCTAAACGTGTTCCAGGGCGCTAGCGCTGACTGCAAAAACATACGGTTGTGCAGTGCAACAATTTGCACTTATTTGCTTGGAAAACGGCAGTGGGGTACTGAATGTGCGTCGTAGATGTGTATTTATAGAAATATATATAGGAAACAGCTGCATATATGTATGACCATATATATATATATATATGTATATATGTATATATATTTATTTATTTATTTATTTATTTATATTTATATTTATATTTATATTTATATTTATATTTATATTTATATTTATATTTAAATTTATATTTATACATATGTATATATATATGTGTGTGTGTGTGTTTAGTACTCATGAATCGACATGTAGATGCAAGAAATATATTGTTGGCACTGCAGCCGTCCGCTTCAGATTGCACCGGCAAGGGTGGTGTTTCTGCTTCTGCGCTTCCGCGCCACTGCAACCAGTTGGAGAGCTGCGATTTTCAGCTTCTTTTGGCCGGTGCTCCGCTGCTTTTCTTCCACACGGCCCGGCCCACGACCAAGCAACCTGCAGGCCCCTCTCGGAGACCCAGGCCGTCGAGCCACCGTTTTCCATGCCGCGGAGCCCACGGTGCCCCATGTCAGCGTTCAATGTGCACATGAACTCTATCTCCCATGGAATCTGCGAGGGTAAATGCCTCGAATGCAGCCCTTGACGCATCTCGTCGACACAACCCAAGCGCCTTGTTCACCCACATGCTCACCACAGCCTCTGCAGCTTGTCATGGCACTTTGGCCATGCCTGGAAAAACCTGGAGATAAATGGGCCTGGCTCGATTCTTCGCCGGTGGCCCCCAACCTCGCAATGAGCCAAGGGGCCACCCACTGGGCCGCCGTACGGCTGGCGTGTCACGAGGCCAGGCCCGAAACGTGAGCCGAAAGTCAGCGCCGTCGCCTTCCGACCTGCTGGCCCGCATCCAGCACAAGGCAATGTCGCCCCCTGTGCCTTTAACTCAGCTTCCCTCAAACCCGAACCACAAAGCTAGCGAAGGCAAACACGGATGGATGAATGGATGGACGGACGGATGGACAGACTGATGGATGGAGAATGGACGGTACAAACGAGATAGGAGCAAACTGGTGCCACATGTTCTTCCCGCGTAAACCCAACGCCACCTCAGGTTGGGATTTTCGCCTGTGCCCGAATGGCCTTAGAGCTTATCTTTCAGTGGCTTTGGTGGACTTCGGTCAGGTGGACGGGTAGCTAGGATTCAATTGCGGGCTTAGGGTTCGAGTGGGGTTAGGCTTCACGAGAATGAGAAGCTGAGGTCCCCAGACACAGTGCACACGCAGAACACAAGCGCAGAAAACAAGGGAACAAATTGGCAGCTGTTCTTTGCCATTCGGCCGACCCGGCACCGCCAATCGGGTACCACCCAACCTTCCCTCGCATATCCCGGGCCTTAAGGGCTTAAGGGCTGAGGGCATGTGGCAATCTCAGACTGGCCCATAGCGACCCCTGTAGCATAGCGGCGAAGGAGAAAGACCCGCCACGTTCAAAAGTGGCCGCCAAACCCTCCTCCCCGCCAAACCAGCCCGGGATGATCGGCACTCCCAGTCCCCTCTGAAGAGAGTGCCCTGGGGCCGGAATTTCAAGATTCAAACCTCCGATGTGAAACCCGGCACTGGCTGGCTCACGGCTGAAAGGATCCACTGGGCCACTCTGACAGACATTCTACCACGACCAGCGAGCCTTAGCCAGGCCTCAACTCAGCCAGTTCAGTCCCCAAAGAAGTCCACTAGTCGAGTCTGACCATCGTGATTGACCTGCACTGCATCCGCATCTGAAACGCATTTGGCCCCCACTGTTGGCCGAGCTCCCTTTGCCACTGGCTGAAAACGGGCACTGACTCCTGACCTGGCCTGGATCCGGACCTTGCTCGCAGTGCCCATGAAGTCCCCGCTGTGGTGCAGGGGCGTGGGTCGGTCAACCTACGGCTCGCCCAGAACGCTCGCAGAGTTCGAAGGACAATCCAAGAAACTGTTTTCAAACTCCCAAATCAGCAAGCAGAGGAATTGCAGCATGACCACCCGATACCACCTTTACTGACCATCAGCAACGGTTGCTTGACTTCTGGTGAGGTCGTTTTGGCTGAAACGTGTAGCTGATGGCTGGCTTCTTTGCAGCAAGCCGCAGCAGGACACAAGCCAGCCGTCAACAGACTCCCTCCCAAAGAAATGCCACATACCTCAATCATGACGTCCTTCACCAGGAAATCGTGTACGCTCTTGTGATTGCCTTGGTGCTGCAGAAATAAGCACGCCAGGCGTACATATGATGTAGCAAATACTGTGGAGAAGTACGTTTGGGATGCAAGTGAGTCCAGTGCGGTAGGAGCCGTTCCACAGCTTTCGAATGTTGAAGGTCGCCACGGCGGGGTGAATGCTCGACAGGCGGAGGTGAGCATATCCGGGACCTCAGCAAGGCACGAATCTGAGACTTGTGAAGGCCCTCGCCCGGCCGGGCCCCCAGCGTACCCCAGCGAAAGGGAAGAGCCGGAAGCCTCCTCCGTAGAAGGGCACGGTGCCTGGCACCACATGAAAATCAGCTTTGGAGTCGGTTGCTTGAAGGAACTGCTCATTGCAATTCAAACCTTCCCTCATTTCCCCGCGCCTATTGAGACGATGCCGACATCACCCTCATAGATCACCTGGCGAGGCCGTGAAAAATCCGGGCTGGAACGGATGCCATGCAGCTGGTCCCATCTTGGACTTATCTTTATGCCCAGCTTGCTTCCCCTCCAAGCAGCCAGCCAAACATGTCGTCTCCACATCTGCCAAAAACAACAGCCAGCGAATAGAAAGCAGCGGCTCGAGCTGCCACAAGTTGTAATCAAAGGTTGCTGCTAACTTCACCAAAGGCAAAATCCGCCCCAAGTCCGCCTTGTCCTTACCGTACTCGATGGCCCAGTCGCCACGGCGCGCGTCCATGCGGTAGGCTGCTGCCGCCGTGTTCGTGACCTTCACGTGGAACACCTTGCAGCATCGCATCATTACAAGGAACATAATCTTTAGTGGATGAACGGCTTACATGTTGGAAGCCCACACGATTGTCCAAATGCCGCAGGGTGCTGTGCCCTGATTACATACATGCTGGTCATTGGGCCTGCAACACATTGGCATGTCATGACGGGGCCGGCTTTTCTCGGGTTGGTTTGGCAAAGGCTTGGGGGTGGATTCGGATTTAGAGCTTAGTTGAGCAAGTTGAGCAGCTGCTGTCTTGTGTGGAATTGGGCTGGGCTTGTTGATAGCGGAAATATAGGGAAATGGGTATGGTGATTTTCAGAGGTCAAAAGCTGGTTGAACAGCAAAACACAAGCAACCAAGTACAAACAATATCATACCTGATATCTGAATCAAGTTTCCTACTTGAAGCATCGAAAATATATGCAAAGAGCTCAAACAAATAGGATGCTCTCCTGAAAGGCTTCTGGAGATTAGCACTGAAAAAACCAAAGAAAAACTTGATGTAAGTTTGGACCCAGCGGCATGTTGGCCGCGCATGGTGACTGGCAGCGTGCGGGTCACAAGCGCCACAAGATAGCCCAGGGGATTGTGCAGCAGCCATTTCAAAAAGCGGCTGTCCTGCAGTGGATTCAATCCTTCTCTCGCTGAAACCCCGCACCTTTAATCTGACTGGGGCGCCTGAATGAGCCAGCAGACACTTTGTCGAACCTATGTCAATCAGCCACCCGCGTGCAAACCCCATGATGCGCTTCCAACCCCGGTCCTTGGTCTTGTCGCGAAGCCACATGTAATCCTGCAGAATGCGAGCATCATAGCCTAAGCCAGCAAAGAAGCAATCCGTGTGCTCCGGCGCGCTCTTCGGCAAGCCCTGCCGTCGGAATGCAATGGCATTTCTCTGAGAAAACTTTTGGGGGGCTTTCAGCTGTAGAAGTGAACCTCTGATGTGGTGCTTTGGCATACAGTCAGCTGACTCCCAGAGCCATCCTTCAGTTAGAGTGGCCCTTACTGCTGCTGCTGGTCGAAGCATGCATGCTACATAACCCAGTCACTCACGACCTGAAAGCAAAACGCTATTCTGCATTCAACTGGTGTTCAGGTGGCGTGCTGCTTGAACGAATCCTTGCCTCCGCCTTCAGCGTGAGCGTACCCGCAGGGATCTCCGGCACATTCTGCGGTCGCGCGAGGAGGTCTGCCACGAGGCGCGCCAAATCGTCGCGGAAGTTCTTCTTGGCGCCTCGACCCGAGACTTGGATCCCAATCTCAGAACCGAGCCGCGGGACGAATTCTTCTCCAGAAGGCTCACTCGTAGGTGTGCAAAGTGTCAAACAAGCCCAACTGCCCGATGTCTGACTGCGTTGGCTGCCTTGACCCAAAAACTAACCGAGCTGGGCGGAACATGCAGTGGCCCCCCTCGCCTGTGACATAGGCCAACGCATTGCCCGTGCCCAAACGGAGTACACAAAGGGTGGGCGCATGGACGGTCGGATCCTCACGCCGCCTTGGGCCGATCAGCTTGCTTCAGCGCTCCTCCCCAGTTGCACCTCTCAAGCCCCTTCCTTCTGCAAGCAGCACTGCCACTAATGGAACTCCGATCAATGAAGGATTTGCAAAGGAATTGCATACATAATATAAAGTAGTAAGTTCTTTGTGACACGCGAGCACTAAACAAGGCCAGGTGGCAAACCGGCCATGAGGTTGAGCAAGCCTCGAGCGCGCAAATAGAAAACATACGAGCTAGGCTGGGGGTCTGCAAGCTGTAAACTGGGCAAATGCCCGGAGCTCCTCAAGAAGCCTGTTGCATGTTTTCACTTCGGCTGCACGACGTTCCTTCTATCAAGCCGCTTGCAACGGTGCCATCGCCACCGCCACACACCACCACCTTGCACTTCTCGTCCGCCATCATCTGAGCAAGTATCCAACCCTGGGACTCACGGACTCGAAGCGAACAAAACCGAAACCTTTGCAAAGGGTGCTCTGGCCACCTTGCAAAGTAGAGCCTCAGTCCTAACAAAGGGAACCCAAATACAGAATGTTGCAGCTTTGGACATGTCGAGCTCTGAGCAGGCTACAGAACTGCAGTCCCCACTACACATCTTACAGCAAACCCTCCACCACCCCTCCACCCCTCCCCCTCCCCCCCCTCCCCCCCCCCTCCCCGGCCTCCCTCAGTGCCACCTCGGCATCTTCCTCACAGCAGCACACGAAGGTGCGCTCGGGCCCCACGATGCCGGTGAGACGCTTCTCCACCGCCCGGGTCACGCCCTTGGCGTTGCCTTTCGAGAGAAAACGCCAAACCCGAGTCTCTCCAGCACGAGATGCCCGGCACCTTCTCCCCATGGTTGCTTCAGCACCCCCCCCCCAACAAAAAAAAAACGGGTGGCAAAGGGGGGGGCCCGATGCCCGTGGCCCTTTCTATGCGACATTTGGAAAGAAGCCGGAGCTGAAAGAAGCAAGCGGAAGTTGAGTGGACAGCGCCGCTCAAAGTTCGGCCCATGAAAGCCCATGTCAGCAGATCACCCGACTTTTTCGTGGCTGCCCAAAATGTTGCCCACCGTCGAAACAAAAGCTGGAAGCAACATCTGGGGCGACGATAGGTCGTGCGACAGAGACGAGTCGCGATTCAGGATCAGGGCCACAGCGGTCTGATCCACGTCCGGGATTTGCCGAACCTCAGCTCCAGCTCACCCGGGCAACCCATCGAACGGGGGGAAAACTCCCGCGCCTCAAAGTCCACCTCGCAGCTGTCCGTGCTGGGCCAGGTGGCCGTCTCCTTCCTGGGAACCGTCGTCGCCTGAAACGCCAGTGCCACCATAAAACGGGAACACCGGCTGAAATGCCCTCAACATGACGCAGCCAATTGGGTGCTTGACCTGCCGGCACCCCGCCTTTCGGCGGGCCCGGCGGCTGTAGGCCGCAGAGATCAAGGAGGCGCCGCAGAGCTGACGGCACCTGGCTTGGCTACTGCCACAGCAACATCAGGACACATACTTGCACCCAGTTGGGGCCAATGCACAGACTTTCCACACAATCAAATTGCAGAAAAACTAACCCCTCTTCAACAAGTAAGGTCGGCTCCATCACAAAGTAACTAAACGATGTCTACAAGCAGATACGCAATCAAATCATGCGCTCGCAAAGCCTGCGGTCGTTTAGACAACCGGCAGAAGCCCTCTGTCCATGCTCCAGGCGCGCCTCCAACCATGCCGCGCTTCTCCTGCAAAAATGAGCCCCAACAGAAAGGAGCTGTCTAAACTTGGTGAAGGTGGTCAAAGAGAAAGTGCCACTACATGACTGACCTAACCATCCGCAAATTTAACCCAGTCACCTTGCTTTGGCTTGAAGGGGCTCGCACCACGAAACAAGCTTGGGGAAACCTGCAGGACGATAGCCAAAGAGGTGAGTTGTTTTCCTGTTCCTTGCGCATGCGGAATCTATCGCTGGTTTGGGATCATTTCAGCGCTTTTGCCCCGGCCGCCCGCCTCCTGCCCCACCCGGCCTGGCACAAATGCCGTGGCGCGGAAGCTCCAGACCTGCCACCCCCAGCCACAAAACCACACGTTAGCCCCACCAATGTGGGGCTTGGCTTTGAAATGCACACTGTTCCGGTGATATGATATAACCAGCCTGGTCCCCCAGAATGCAAAATGTCACATGTTGTTGCCAAGGCAACCCTCATCTCAGCTTGGGGCTCATGCCACGCCGCTGGACCCCTCTAACCCAAACAGACCAGGGAGTCCTCAATTGAAGATTCGGGCAACACCTCCCTGCACGCCAGGGCGCATGAGCAGCCGGTTGCACATTCACACTGCCCTTGGGGCACGGCGTTTCGGCCGGCACCGCAAGGGCCAATGACATTGCTGCACGCAAGTCCGGAGGAAAGAGACGCTGGAGCCAAGTTCAGCGCGACCCGGGCTACTGGACTTCTGTCCTTTTGCTCCCTCCCAGACACAAAGAGACACAGAAACAAAAATTTGTTGGGTGGGCATGCAGTAGCCGCCAGACGGGCATTGACACAACTCGAACAAAGCAACACGACCCGGCCATGGCCCCTCGCCACGCCTCTGGCGCCTTGCTCAGAGTTGGGCTCTGAGTGGGGATCGGAGCCTCGAGGCCAGGGAAGTCCAAGGCGCGCCTGGGCGGGCCAAGAGAACACCCTTCAGGTAGCCCTTAAGCAGTTTGAAACTGCTGGCTTGGGGATCTTCGCCCTCAAGGAGGGGCACATGGGAACACGCTAAGCTCCAACCAAATCCAAGTTAAACCCCGAGTGCAGGGCGGAGTTGTTGCGAAGCGAAGCCTCTGCACCTGCCGAGAAGCTCGTTGACTGAAAAGCGGCACCTCGAACATGCCAAAGAGAGGGAGGGACCGGAAGGCAGTCAGAAACCAATGAAACTCAAAGAACCCGTATCGCATGAGAGCAAAGGGCAGAGGAAAAAAGAATAGACCAAAGCAAGAATGAATGAGAAGAAATAGGCCAAAGGAGGACAGCAACGAGAGAATGCGAAGAGGAAAGTACACAACAAGACATAATGTCACAACACAACAAACGACATGCAAAGGAGGAGAGAAAGCTTTCAACACCCCGTTGAGACCTTGACCTACCTTCAGCGCGGACTTGCATGTCTATGGAGTGTTCAGGTTGAACATCTATGCAATCATTGCCAAGTTGCCCATGGATGAACTGCCCGATTTAAAAAAAAAAAAAAAAAAAAAAAAATGTGATAGTGTGTTGAATCCTGGTTCGCAAAAAAAAAAAATGCAGTGCACTGCAGTCGTGGCTGCTCCTGAAAGTCTGAGTGCCGAAAGGCTGATCCAAGAGCCCCGGCTTGCACAATAGACGAAGGTGCAGAGAGGAATCAAGCTTCACCGCGCTCGCGGCGCAGGAACTGGTCTTGCATTGAACTGCAACATGGACGTGGCTGAAACTCAGGGGGGGCCAAAATGGAACCCCGTTAAATTAAGCAGTGGACTCAAACTTGCGGTCCCCTGGCTGTTAAATCTTGAGCCACACCGATTGTAGCTAGCAAGCTTTTCCACATTCTCGCGACTTATACTCGACCCCCAGCCTGGGGTCTCAGCTGAGACAGCTGGGGCACAAGCCGTCGCAGTGCACGCATGGCCCTGACCACAGCGGGGGATGGAGTGGATGACAAGTCTTACCAAATCACACCATCCTTTCGAGTCGCAGTGCCGGAGAAATTGCAGGAGAGTGTGAAACCGTCAAAGATCTGAATGCCCTGCCTGGCTCGCAAGAGCACCGCGCTCTTGCAGAATCTGGGAATTGAAGGCGAGGAGGCTTTACACGAGTGCTAGACTCAGGATTGCCACATTTCGCTTGCTCTTCTGTCATGCTGCTCTTTGATCCGGCGGCGCGGCAGACGTGCTGCATGACCCATATCGCCAGATTCAACAGCAAAAGCATCACAACCAACCACTGCATAGCAACCATGCTCATCATAATTTGCAAGCTTCATGTTCTGAGGCGGTCACAGAATTATGATGGCTTCTCGAAATTCCTCAACCTCTGAGCGTGGCGCACGCAGGCCGGCGGCATCTTCCGACACTAGGCCGTACCCAAATGACTTGTGACAACCATTTGCGCATACTTGGCAACAGTCCAGCTGAACATGCACTTGTTGCAATGGGTTAAATTTGATCCAACACCAACATGGCCTCCGAAGGTGACTGACGGGCCTTGTGGGCATCTTGTTTTCAAGGATGGGGGAGCCGCACTCGTGGCCGGTTGGCATCTCCATAAAAGAGACCCCAGCTTTCACGCAGGCGGCGCCTCCTGCTTGTGCTCCAGCTTCTGCTCATGCAACTTGGTCTCCAGTTCCTGCATGCAGTCCGCCAGCCCACCAGTCCATCATTTCGGGTTTGCTTGCTGCGCATATCCATTCTCAGTCGCGGGTCCAAATCATGTGGTCTTTTTGCTTCGGGAACAGCACTCCATGATGTCAAGCTCTTCAGGTGGTGCAAATGGCCTGAATCCTCTGGAAGGCTTCGCCAAGCTGTTTAATAGCCCCTTCAGTCACATCTTGACGCCTGCCAGTGAAAAGGCAACAAGCTGCCCAGCACACGTTGCCCAGATTGTTGCGTCTGAGAACTACGGAAATGGCATATGCGTGCCAGCTGCATGTACAGTATCAATGCAACATTGCATTGCCACATTGCCACGCCTTTCTCCAGTGCTTGTGACGGAATCCTGGCGGCCTCGCAAGCGAGGCATGGCCGCAGTGAATGTGGCAACAGTTGTGGTGCCATGTGCTGCAATTTGCAGTTGCTACACCACGACTTTCTGCAAGGTTGCAAGCTTTATTGCCTCTGCCCACACAAGGCAACCCGTTGTTCCACCGGGCCTGGGTACGCCATGGCCTCAGATCAAGTGGCGAGCGCAAAACATCCGACGCAAACCTTGGCAACCCTCGAGCTGGCTTTGACAAGCCCACTTGCGCATGTGACATGCCAATCGCCCTCGCCCTGCCAATCAAAGTGACAAAGTCGAGGCCTCGCATGATTCAGACCTTCACACATCACGTGCACATCATGTGGCAGTACACTTTTTACAACAACGAAAGGCAAGGCCGCTTTGGAAAACCCGATGGACCCGAAGCGGGGCGGTTTCTCAAGACGATTCCTGCCATGGACCCTTTGCATCCAGGTCACTGAACAGCCTGGATGCCCCCTTCCGCGAGAGCCAAAGCGGCAGAGAAATCCTTGCCTGGAGCTCATTGAGCTGGAAATGGGGCTGAAACACACAGGTACTATGTTTGCTTTGTTTAATCGTTGCTATTGTTTATAGTATTAAAGTTCTAATATGCTGGTTTGTTTGGATAAATTTCTTACATCTCACATAATAATTGATCTGAATATAATGTAGATTGCCAAACCCCGAAGCATCAGCTCTACCATTGGAAAGCTCGATGTCCGCGCCCGCTTATTTTGGCTCACACGATCGCAGGTTTCAAGCCTTCTGATTAAAACTCCTGCGTGAACTCGGCCGCACTCACCATGCTCAGTCAGTGCGTGCACCCCGCATTTGATTCCTCAGGGAAAGTACTACGCTCACACACACACACACACGACACACGACACACGACACACGACACACGACACACGACACACGACACACGACACACGACACACGACACACGACACACGACACACGACACACGACACACGACACACGACACACGACACACGACACACGACACACGACACACGCCACACGACACACGACACACGACACACGACACACGACACACGACACACACCAGCACACACAGAAGGATCTGTGTGTGTGGGTGTAGGTGCATGCGTGTGGAGGGATAATCATGTACACTTGCTAAACTGGGACGTGCATGCGATAGGAAACTCTCAAAGAAAAAGTACGGCTTCGACCTCACGCATGTTTACTGCATAAATTCGGACGTTAGTACTTGCGGCTGAAAATGTATGACATGTGCTTCATCCCCTACCATTGGCAACGTCCTTTCCGCACGGCCGATCCCAATCAACTGCTTCTTTCAAGGCCGCCGAAGGAAATGTCCAACACTTGCATCTCCCAAAGCCAAACATACCCCGCCCCCCTGCAGAGAATACAATATCTGTCCAAAGAATTCCAGGCCGCCAGTGCCACTTCCAATGCCAAGTCTCAAAATTGCATGGCCAGAAAATGACAAGGCCTCTCAGAAAATACCCTCCTCATCATAGGTGGCAACAACACAAGCGCGCTATACTAATAAATCGAGCCCTACTGCTTTCGGGCCAAAACCACAACAACCACCTCTTGCCTTTATACTTGAATTGACAAACCTTGCATTGAGCAGTTTAACATAAATTCCTCACTCGGCAGGATACGATTTTGACAGTTTCTGCACCCAGCAAAGGGATCCTGAAACCCGGCTAAAACCCCATTAGTAAATATGTGTTCTCAAACAAAAATATGTCTTTTGCGGAATTGAAAAATAGGGGAGGGATTAGTTGTTTTGGCAACAGTTTGTCCCACCTCCCATGCCAAGTTCAAGCAAACCTTGACATGCGACAATGCAGGGAGTAACATCAAGCAAAGAATCTTGAAAGCACAACAGCTTGACACAAGCTAATTTCCTTCGCCACATGCCAGGCCAAGATTCAACTTTGCCCTGTATCTTTGCTTCAATTGATGCTGGATCGCCCCTGGGCGCAGGCAAGGCTAAGAGAGACTGCAAACCCAAAAGTTGGCTATCGCTCCTTTCATGGCTCCCTCCTTATGCTTGTCTTTGCGATCGTCCTGCACTGAAGAATGCCGATAACACTGCAATTGTGTAGCAACGCAGGCACGGCCAGCTGCTGACCCAAGCAAAAACATTGGCAACAAGTGGTCCGCTTTGCTCTTGCTCGTGGATGCCGCCTCCCCTTTTGCCTGTGACAAGGATGTAACGATGTAGTCAAACTCCCTCACAAACCCTGAAAAAACGCACCCCCTGCTGACGGTCGGCAATACTGGCATCCGGCCTCCTCGGCCAAGCCTGCCTTGCATCAACGTGTGGAC